GGGCACATGTGCGCCGCGTTTAACGGGTAAAGGGAGCTCGAACATCTGCTCGCGGGAGGCGCGGCAGCCCATGACTGCCTTGGCCAACTCCTGCTAAACTTGCGTCTTTTGTTTGCTGTCTCTGCCCGAGGACAAGCAGAAGCAGGAGGAAAGATTCGCTGGACTCTACACCACATAAGCCAGTGGAAATTTCGAGAAATGACCATCTTGGGAGTCTTGAACAAAACCAAACACTCACTACCAGGGTGAGAGGCTGGGGTTGAGGTGGGGTTCAACAGGGCCACATGGCCAGGTCCACCCTCCTGAGCCTCGTTCAGCCTCGGTCTGATGCCAGCAGGAGAACTTCCTTCCCTGTCGCCCCAGCAAGGGACTTGAAAGTAAACGGCAGAGCAGGTGGTGCGGCCAGGGAGAGCCAAGAGATGCGAGCGTCCCTGGGCACCCGCACAGCCCCAGAGAATCCCAAATCACTCCTACCACAACCCACATTAAGGCAGCGATCTGTGTGTGAGCGAGCACTGGAGGCGCATTCCAGCGCTGGCAATTACAGCTTCCTTCTAATTGAATTTTACAGCTGGAAGAAACCCAGCAGATGAGTCCGTCGAGACCAATGCACTTTGTGTGTGTGTGTGTGTGTGTGTGTGTGTGTGTGTGTGTTTCTGCTTGTGCGTGTGCGTGTGTGTGTATGCAGAGGAATCAGAATGGTAACAGTCTGTCTGAGGGTCTGGAGCAGAGGAGAGGCCAGCGAGAGGGCCCACTTTGCTGCTGGCCTTTGCAAGAGTCCAGAAGCTGGGTGGGAAGCAACATGCCATCTCTCTCCCGGGCTGTGGACCCGTGTCTAGTTGCAGGTTTTGAAGCCACACTCAGCACATTCATGACAGACGGAGCCACTCCTCTGCCTCTTCCTCCTGCACTCAACAAATTCATTCTCTGAACTCGACTCATCCTTCCAGGGAGCTCCCCCAGATGCCCGGTCTCGGGGCAGAGCTGCTGCCTTCATGTGGCTGGGAGAGAATCAGGGCGTGGGCAGCATCAGATCCTACATTTGGGACATTCGGGTTTTTGTTTCAGGACCTGCCCTGCAGTGCTGAGGCTTCCTCTTGCTCTGTGCTCAGAGATCTCGCCTGGCGGTGTTTGGGGACCGTCTGTGGGTCAGTGGTCTGAGGAGGCTCAGCCTTAACCCCTGCATCATCTCCCCGGCCCCGTGGACCAATCATTTCTGTCCATTTGGGGCCTTTTCCTTGTGCCAATTTCCCTGGACACTCCACAACCACGACTATATCTGTGGCCCTCAGAATCACTGCCCTGCACCTGGGCACATGCCTGACCCACACTCAAGTCCAGCCTCTCCAATGCCCCCCTCCCTCCGCAATGGTCGCTCGCTGGATGCCTGGCCCCATGGCTGAGTCTCACGGAAGGGCTCCTGGCCCCCCGACAGTGCCCAGGAGCTGCCCTGCCATTGGGTAGGAATGAGAAAAGGAAGCACAGGGCCTTCCCTTCCACAATTCACACATGAGACTTCAGGGGACGATTTGCATCTGTGTTAAAGGGGCACTGATCACCTCTGACACACTGAGTCACAGACTCTCGAGGTCCTTGGCGTCCCTGTCCAGCCACTGACCTTCAAAAATCACAGAATCAAAAGGGTCTGAGGAGCCTCATCCGGAACAAGGCACAGCGCCATGTGTCGTGGCTTCCCTGCTTAAGGAAGCAGAGGGACAAACGCGTGCTCAGCTTCATTCTGTTGTAACAAGAAGCGTTGATGCACAGGGGAAATGAGCTACTTAACTGCTCTGCATCATTAAAGATGGATTTTGTTTTATTTCCTCTGGTTGCCTTAATTGGGTATTTTAACTCATTATAATTTTCAAATTGGCCAGTTCGCCATGTGTTAATTCTTTTGTTCTCAAAACCGTTAGGAATAAGGACAGCAGGCATACACACACACACACACACACACACACACACACGCAAACACACAAACATATACTCACACACATGCAAATACACACATATACACTGACACACATGGAAACATACAACCATACACATACACATGTAAACACATACACACACACACTATTAGTGTTTTGAGAGTCAGGCAGTAACGTCAGCTGGTCTATTTCTAGGTGAATGACAACAAAAAAAATCATAGATTTGGGGCTTAACAGACTAAAAGTCAATCCAAGTCCCCCCCCATAACCACCCCCCCCCACTGGGGCTAAGCTGGGCACCGCGTCCGTAAACCAGGAGGGTTTTGCCCATCCCCAGGGCCTCAGTGTGAGCAGCAGCAGAGCCCAGCACTGGCCACGCTCTTAAATGAGACATGAAGCCTCCTCTCTGCACGTCGAAGGGTTTCAGTCTCTGGAGGGCTATGTGTGTCCCCTTCCCTGCTGGCGGGAGGTGGGAGGTGACCGCCCCCTCCAGGAGCCAGGCTGATTGTTTCCGCCCCTGGAGTTTAGAGCTAGCACCTAGCGCTAACCTCTCTGACTTCTATTGAGTCCCTTGCCCGCCCCCCAAGGGACGGAGAAGGGAAACTCCCCTCACTGGTGCCAGGTGTGATCTGAGCCCCTGCTCTGCTCTGTTCGGAATCTCTGACACTCTCTGGACCCATCTCCACGGCTCTGCCTATTTCTCCGGTGTTGGCTGGGGGAGGGCACTGTCCTCCCAGCCCGTGCTGCTTCTCCAGGGCCACACTTAGGGGAACCCCAAGGACAGCATGGCTAGACTCCAGGGTCCCCCGTGCCTCCCCCCACCACCCCGGGGTGCCTAGGCCTCTGGGAGGTGTACCAGGAGGCACAGAGCCGCTCCCCCCACACACAGTGGCCCAGCACGTTTCCAGGAAGGAAGGAGGCAGCGAGGAGAGATGGGGTGTCTTACATGACGCCTGGCCCTCGCCCCCACACCCACGTGGAGTCCTCGCCAGGAAATGCTGTTTCTTCTTCCAGGAAGCCCAGCACCCTGCCTAGCACACACGGCCTGAGCTGAGCCAGAAAGACCAGCAGCAACAGAGGGCGGGGGTGGGGCGAGGCCCAACCCGACACTCTCAGGACAGGTACTCGTGCTGGCGGTCGGAAACCCCCTTTCTGGACCTCCAGTGGCTGCCTCTCCTCAGACTCCGGGCCTCTGAGGAGTCCAGCTAGCATAGGACTGAGAGACGAGGGGGCTAGAGAATGTGTGGGAGGGGCTCCGGGAGCTGCTGGTTTGGGACTGCAGCCCCTTCTTCCCCTCTGGGCAAGCCCCTCACCTCCCAACGACCGAGGGGTTCTTATCTGTAACAGACCTGGGAGTGCACCGCAGGCAGGGGCTCTCCCTTCCCTATGCCAGAGTGACGCTTCAGAGGAACAGGCAGGCTCTGAGGATCGCGTCCCCCATCCCTGCCAGCCAGGCCACACTGTTCTGGGAGGGAAGCAGATGGGGGTGGGGGGGACACGCTTCAAAGTACGGCACAGCCAGCAGGACGGACGACACCTCAAAGCCAGCCCCAATGGCGGATGACAAGAACATCAGGGCCCTGCACCTAACCGTCTCAAAATAGTGAGACAAGAAATGGGGGCAGAGCGGGGGCTGGTCTCCCTGCCCTGCAGTGTGGACAGTGCCCATTCTTCTGCCACGTGATGGTTTTTAGGAGGTCTGAAGAAGTCACAGCAGGCGTCTGGAACTGGAAGGTTCCCTGTGAATCTGCAGAGGCTGCGGACTTCTCAGTAGGGACTGGGAGGGATGGGCAGGGCATGGGGGGGGGGGTGCTGCTTCAGTCCTGCCCCTGGTTCCAGCCACAGATACCAATTTCCCACCAAATTTCAGCAGCAAGTGTACAGTGAGCAGAGTGGATACCCCACCCATCACAGCCCCCCCCCCCTGGAACCTTCCCAAGTGGCACTGGGTTCTGCTAAACTATCCTGACTGGAGGGGCAGCTGCTGCTGCTAGCCACTAGACCACCACACAGAAGAGAGAAGGACCCCGTTCCTGGCACACAGACTTTCATTCTGGTGGGCTACTGGCAGGCCCTCTGGTTTGCAGCCTGCAAGTCTCTCTCTGCTGCATCTGGCCCAGTCCAGGACTCTGCTCTTTTATACCTTTTAATCTTGCTTCCTCTAAATAAAAACAAAACAAAACAAACAAAAAAACACGGGGATGGACGGGTACCATTCTATCTCTGGTATTGGGATATTGTAATAACACAAGTTCTGGAATAAGTCTTAGCAGTCATGTGCAATGGGGAGAGAGCAGCCACGGCAGAGCTTTGTGCTGGGAAGGAGCTGGAGCTCCGTGGGCGCGGGGTGACCCGCCCTCCTGTCCTTCCCCAGACCCAGCAACCCACCCTCCCCTCTCCCCCCCTCCCTGTCACCCATTGCCCTTGACCTTCCTTTGTTCCCCCTCCTACGTTTGGCTACAATCGCCCTTCCAGGCCCTCCGTTTGCAACTACGTGTGGGAGGGCTCGGGGAGCAGGGGGGAGATGTTTTATAGGGTCCAGGCAATTTCCCTGAGCCCAGGGGGCAAGGATGGAGGGCGAGCGGCCAGGGCAGGATGAGGATGGAGGGTGGAGCAGGGACGGAACTGGGGGTGGGGCCGAGTGTGGGTGGTGGGCGAAGCCGGGAGCTGTGGGCGGGTTCGACGGAGGGTGGAGGGCGGGGCCGGGCATTGTGGGCGGGGCCTACTGAGGGCGGAGGGCGTGGCCCGGGGCGTGGGGGCGGGGCTGAAGGCGGGTATAGGGTGGGGCCGGGAGCGCTGAGGGCGGTGCTGAGTGCAAGTGGAGGGCGGGGCTGGAAACCGGGGCGGGGCCTAGTGAGAGTGGTGGGCGTGACCTGGAGCTCGGGGCGGGTTGAGGGCGGTGGCTGGACCTGCGAGCTCTTGGGGGGCGGGGCCAGGCGTCTTGGGGGCTGGGCAGGGGCGGGGCGAGGGCGGTGGCGGGGCGCGGACGTGCGAGCGCCCCCTGGCTGCCGTGTCCGCGGTGCACATCCCTCCGGCCGCCGAGCGCGCTCACCGCCCGCCCGGAGCAGCGGCCGCCGCAGGTAGGGGGGCGCGGGCGGGAGGGCGCTCCGGGGCCCCAGGCGGGAAACCCCCGCCGTGCGGGGCCGAGGAGGGGATACGGGGCCCCGGCCGGCGGCGTGCGGACTTCGGGTCCCGGTTGCGGCGCGGCCGTGCCGGCCCCTTGCGTGCCACGGTGCTAAGTTTGCGCCCTGGGCAGCCTGGCAGAGGGCAGGAGCGGCCGGGGCTGGGGGACGCCAACCTGGCCGTCCGGGGGTCACGGCTGTCGCCTTGGCAGGGAGAAGCATCCTCTGCCGGGACTTTCCGGCTCTGGGCAGCCCCGCCGGCTGACCCCCAGCTGGCCAGTGTCCCCGCCGCCTGCGCCCCCGGGTCCCGGGAGCGGGGAGGTTCCGGGGACCCGTGCGCCCAGGACCGGACTCGGGCGCAGCGGCCCCGACGGTGGCCCCGGGGGGCTCTCTGCCCTTCCCCGGAGGGCACATCCGGAGCCCGCCCGGGGTCAGCCCGGGCCCCGGCACCTGCCCGCCGGCGGATGCTGCGCTCGCTCCGAGAGGCTGTCGGGGGCAGGAGTGACATTTGCTTGGGCGGCGGCCGCGCGTCTGAAGCTCCGCAGGCTGCCCCGCCGCGGGCTGCCCCCGCCCGCCCGTCCGGACCCCTGCCGTCTCCCCCTCCACGGCACCCCCCAGTGCCCCCTGCCCTGGCAGTGCCCCCCGCCCGCCTCTTCCTGCAGTCGCCTCTGGCCCTGAGCCCCTGGCCCCGAGCCCCCACGTCGCCTCCGTAATTTCCTCGGAAACTTAGGAACTGGATGCGGGGTGGGGTCGGGGGAGCCCTGGGCCCCACTTTGCCCTGCTCACTTCGGCCCTCCCTGGGATGGGCTCCCGACAGGTGCCCTGCAGCCCAGGCCCCCCTGAGAGTCCCCACGCCGGGGACTGCTGCCTATAGTGACTGTTTCCGCCCAGGTTTGCGGCTCTAACGGGGTACGGGGTATGGGGGTGTGGCGCCGGGGTCGCTCTTGGAGCCGCGTGGGCAGAGCCCTGTCAAGGGTATTTCCCAGAGGGACCGCAGGTGCACGGGGCCGGGCTGGCTCTGGGCATGAGGGCTTAGGGTGCAAGGCTGTGGCTGGCATGGGGAGCAAAGCTCCACAAAGCTCCTTATAAACGATGCTGGCGTGCCCGGAGACTGGCTCTCCTCTAACGGGCTCTGCAGGCCCCTGACAGACACAGGGCTCTGCCCCGCACTTGCTGCCATGCTCCTTAGGCATGGGCGATTCAATCTCATTCTAGACAGTTTCAACCTTTTGTTTGTTTTAAAAGCAATTCTCCTCCAAGTTATTTAAAATGAAAACTCGGTGTGGTTTTTTAAAACCCAGATAACATTACCTAAACAAGAATTCACATTTATATCATTTTTGGTTGGGAGGATGGTTCTCCCAAGCAGAGCTCAGGAGATGCGGGGCCCCCTGCTGAATCTCGGCCCATCAGCCTGGGTGGTTCAGTGCACGGGTGCTGCTCAGCCCCGCGGGGTGGGGGTCCTGTGTCAGTGTGTGGGGCTGGAGGTGCCCAGAGCCCAGGTGGTGGCAGGGGAGCTCATTTGGGATCATGGTGGGCCCCCGCCACATGACCCAGGCCTAAATCAGCAGGTCACTGGAAACAGGGACAGACCCCCGTGGTGCCGTCCCAAGCCTGGTACTTCAGTGCCCGCATCCCCCGGTCCTCCCTGCTGCAGCTGCTCCCTCACCACTGCTCGAGCCTGCAGGGGACACGGGGGACTTGCCGAACATCACTCAAGCAGAACGGCTGGGAGAGCGGGATCCGTCACGGCCCCCCGGGCACTGAGCCTGCCATGGACTTAGGGCCAAGTCCTGCCACACTGTGGGCACCAGATGCTGCCAGTGACCACAGGGCAGTTTGATGGACTGGGAGGTGACCGAGTGACAGGTGGTAGACGCAGCATTGTTAGGGGAGTGCACCTCGGTGGGTCTTCACAGCACCTCAGTCCTGGCTGCCGTGGGCAGAGGATGTCCCCTCCTGCCCCTGGGGGGGGGGCCCTCAGCTCTGGGGGCTGGTGAGTGGGAGATTCGGTGCCCTGGGGCCCGCCCAGCACTGTCCACAGTGCTTCTTGCAGACAGAAACTACCCCAGGAGACACTAGACCCCCCTGCTCTCCACCTTGCCGGGCACGTCTGGCGGTGGGAATCGTGCGGGCGTTTGTCCATTTCTATGTCTCAGGAGCTGAGACCCGCCAGCACCTGTGCTGTCCTCTGGAGTCTCACTCTCCATCCTCTCGGGCAGGAGTACCCCTCTGTGGGCACCAACGCTCAGCCTGCCCTTCCCTCAGCCCTGTGCTGGTCTGCTGTGAGCCGGGGATCAGGGCATGGCTCTCCGCAGCCCTGTTGGAAGCCCCTGTCCTCACCGGATGGGCCCAGCTGCATTCCGTGTCGGCCTGTGTGTTTTTCTCCAGACCTGCCGGACCTTCCCCCTGGCCGGAACCCCTGGTCCATCCCCACCAGCCATGCCCAGGGCCGCAGCCACCCCTGTGGTCTGTGGAGAATGTCTCTCCTCACGGACCAGTGGGGACTGACGGCCTGGAGCCTGCTGCCGGGCACTGGGCTCTCCCTGAAACCCCTTGGCTCACACACCCTCGGGGGCAGAATCGTGGCTGCAGCTGTGCTCAGAGCCACTAGGAAGCCGCAACGGCTCCTCAGACTCAGTTCCCAAAAGGCCCCTCTCCCCGGGGTCAGGCCACGGATGTGGGGGTCTCCCTGGGGCCATGCCGCAGGCGCGGGGGTCTTATCCAGGTCAGCCAAGAGTCCAGCGAGCCCAAGGTGGGCAGCAGAGCTGGGCAGGAGATGCGGTGAAGGTGCAGTGCCCTCTCACAGGTGGTCAGAACCAGGCTGAGAATCAGGGACAGGCTCCGCGGCTGTCCTGGTGCCCGCAGGCCCCATGGCCTGTCCTCGGGGCTGTGCTGAGGGGCTCAGCATGCTCGCTGCCTTGTATCCGCTTCCTCCTGTGAGCAGCAAAGCACCAAGGACCCCTGTGGAAGGCTCTCCTGTGATGGGCTCCGCAGGCCCCTGACGCTGCTGGCCATCTCCTGGGAGGGGCCAGAACACAGGAGTCCCCACATTGTGCCGAGTGAATGTGTCACAGGGGACAGGCCTACATGTGGGGAGTGGGTGTCAGAGTCTTGGTCCAGAGGTGTCGGCTTGGCGAGACCTGGGGTGGGCAGCAGTGAACTGGGCAAGAATGTTCCAGAAGTGGGGGAGTGCCTGGCCAAAGGGACCGGGACATTCAGCGAAGGATAAGGAGTGCCCGGCCTGTGGAGAGGGGCCCTTCAGCCAAGAGGACTTAGCCAGGAAGGGGCCGGGGTGTGGGCATGGGGATGGGGGCGCAGTGCCACGTGGAGCAGCTTGGCTGAGCCCACCCCGCGGTGCCCCTGTAGAATGTGGCGGGAGGGGGACAAGCAGGCAATACCCCACCTGGGCAGCCGCCTGTCCACGCACTGGGCTGACCTTGGACCCTTCCCATCAGGTCTCGCCCAGCCCTGCTGTGTCTTGGGGGGTTATGGCAGTGGGACGGCTCCCCACTCCCGCCAGATGCTCAGTCTCCCCCCCCCCACCCTCCCCCCCGGTAAGGCAGGTGTAGGTCTGTCCATTCTGTGGACATGGGCGGTTGTTGTGGTTCTGAGCCTGTTTCCTCGCGTGGGGGCTGTGTTCAGGAGTGTGGGGGCTGCGGGCAGGGGGTCCAGGGCTGCACATGGTGCTCCGGGGACAGGAGGGTCCTGGGGTCAGACTGGGCTCAGGCCCAGACAGCTCCCTGGCCGGGCACTGACTCATGCTCCCAGTCTGTCAGCGCCCCCAGGACGCCCCTCTCTGAGACAGCTGTGCGGGGCACGGGGGCTCTGCAGTTGCCTCCAGCTCCTCCCGGGGCCAGGATTGGGGTGCGACCCCAGCAAGACAGGCACACAGTGACACGCCCTCCCCAGCCACCACCAGTCCTGCCTGATGTCCCTGGAGGAGCCCTCAAGGGTCTCGCCTCCTCTGGGGGTCTCGCTTCTGGGGCCTCAGACCCCCGTCCTCCGGGGGGGTCCCACCTCCTCTGGGGGGCTTTACCTCCTCTGGGGGTCTCACTTATAGGGCCCCAGCTCCTCCAGGGGGGCCCCAGCTCCTCCAGAGGATCTCACCTCTTCTGGGGAATTCTCTCCTCTTCTGTGCGGTCTCACTTCCTCCAGGGGGGATGTCACCTCTCTGGGGGATTCTCACCTTTTCTGCGGGGTCTCACATCCTCCAGGAGGTAGATTTACCTCCTCTGGGGGTTCTCCCCTCCTCCGAGGGGCCACTTGCTCCGACTCAGTTTTCCCTGAGTTCTGTGGCTCGTGGGTCTCTGTCCTGCCACCCGTGGAGTCTACTTCTACCGAGTGTTTATTTGTGTCAGAACCCAGGGTGGGGTGGGGACTTTCTCTCCAGAGGGTCACTCCTGACTCTCACTGTTGTCTGGGGACGGTCCCCACCCGGACTCACCCGCAGTCTCCATGAGTCACTAGCATCCACTCTCACGCTGGTGCTGCCCATCCCTCCAATAGCTGTGGACACGTGGGGCCCATTTCCAGGGTGTTGCCAGGCGCGTGCCAGGAGCCGGATCCCAGGAGCGTTACTCAGCATGGCCACTGTCAGGAGACAGGCTCCGGGGGAGGAAACAGGGCCAAGGGTCACCCACGTGGCCCGCAGTGACCCCGGCGTCCTGGCCCCTCACCTGCTTGGCCTGCAGGGGCTCGGTGGGGTCAGAGCTGCGAGCCAGCTCCCTGGGCAGTGCCAGTCACACTCAGGGCCTCCCTTCCCTGAGTCCTCACAGCCGGCCCTGCGCCCGCACGCCCTGGGTGCTTTCCTGCCTCCCCGTCCCCGAAAGTCCTGCCTGGCACGATGTCTCAGTTTCTCCCCTCAGCTGGCTCCTGGACCACACCCCCAAACACCTCCCTTCCCCCCAGGTCTTCTGGGTCCTCCTCAGAAGCTGGGCCTGCTGGCATGGACCCCT